AATTATCCACGTCGGAATGGAGGAATACATCCCTCACACAGTGAAAGTTCCTAAACCAGGGTCCAACGGCTGGTTCAACAAATCGTGTGACACTGCTCGCCAGCAGAAGATCAAGGCCCACAGAACCTACTTACAAAACCCCACTGTAGAGAACAGACAAGCCGACGTCGAGTCCAGAAACAAATATAACGAAGCGGTTCGCAATGCCAAAAACCAGCATGATATAAAAGTTAGGCACAGGGTAATGTCGCAGCGCAATGGCAGTCGGTCTTTCTGGACGCTGGCCAAGCAGATTGAAAAGAACTTCTCACACAGTAGCCTTCCACCACTTACGTGTCAGGATGGAACTATTGTATTCGACTCAAAGGCCAAGGCGGAAGTGCTAGCCAAGATCTTTGCTGCCAACTCCACCATGGACGTCCCCACCAACGCCCAAGTGCCGTCAATTCAAAGGGTTCCCCACACTATGCGGGAGGTAACATTCAGGCATAAGACCGTAAGACGAGTGCTCTTGTCGCTCGACATCAACAAAGCTTCTGGTCCGGACTTGATTCCTGCCATTGTACTGAAGAGATGTGCAGCGGAGCTTGCTCCAGTTCTTTCGCGTCTCTTCCAGATATCTTATGATTCCGGCACCTTCCCAGAAAACTGGAAATTTGCTCATGTACAGCCCATCCCAAAAAAAGGATCTAAAACCGACCCTTACAACTACAGGCCTATAGCTCTGCTTTCTGTTATAAGTAAAGTGATGGAGAGGTGCATAAATCGCGAGCTTCTGGACTACCTCGAACGTCACAGCTTGATTAGCGACAGGCAGTACGGTTTCCGGCACCAACGATCCACAGGGGACCTCCTAGCTTACGTCACGCAACTGTGGAGTAAACTCATCCAGTCTCATGGTGAGGCTCATGTCGTTGCTCTTGACATCACGAAAGCATTCGATCAGCTGTGGCACGCTGCCCTCTTAAGCAAACTTCCATCCTACGGCCTCCCAGAAAAGCTTTGCAGATGGGTGGCTGACCTTACCTCTGGCCGCAAGATATCCGTCGTAATTGACGGATTCTCCTCTTCATCCCACAACGTCAACGCGGGTGTTCCCCAGGGATCGGTCTTGGCTCCAACACTGTTTCTCTTACATATCAACGACCTCCTTTCCTGCACGATCAATCCAATCCACAGCTTCGCTGATGACAGCACTCTACATGCAGGAATTCAGAGTGACAAGCCGATCTCTGCCGCTGAGCTGGAAAAAAGAAGACTAGCGACGACTTCTTCTCTGACAAGAGACCTGGAGGCTATCACTGCTTGGGGACGCAACAATCTTGTACAGTTCAATGCTTCCAAAACACAGTACTGTACTTTGACGAACAAAAAGCGTCCTAGCGCTCATACAGTTTCGATGGACGGTCGAGTTCTACCAAAGAGCCATTCATTTCGGCTGGTCGGAGTCCAGATCACCGAGGACCTGATCTGGCACGAACACATCTCTTCAATAGCTGCAGCTGCTGGGAAAAAGCTAGGCTATTTGTTTAGGGCTAAGAAGTACTTTTCTCCGCATGACCTTCTCACTCTATACAAGGCCCAGATAAGGCCTAGCCTCGAGTATTGCTCACACATTTGGGGTGCTGCCGCCCCGACTACATTGTCCATGCTCGATGCTGTCCAGAGGAGGGCGGTCCGACTGATCGATGACTCTTCTCTAACACACAGTCTCGGGACTCTTTCGCACCGGCGGGCCGTCGGCGATCTAGCTCTTTTCTATCGCTACACCAACGGGCTTTGCTCCTCAGAGCTCTCTTCTATGATGCCGCCGCGCGATGTGCCTGCCAGACAGACCCGCCTGACTTCGGCGTCCCATCCTAACCGTGTCAAACTTCGTACATCCAGAACTGGCCGATACGACCGCTCCTTTGTCCCGAGGGTGTCTAGATTGTGGAACAATCTACGGGAGGAAGCTTTTCCCAGTTCTAGTAACCTTGGGCAGTTCAAAAATCGTATCAACAAAATTTCTTTGGGATCATCATAGCAGCCGCGGTGTTCCGGCATTTAGGCTTCTGCCTGCGCGGCTGTTTCGATATAAAAAAAAAAAACCTACGAACAATCACAGCATCCATAGCCAAGAGAAAAATTTCTCTCGGGGGACGGGATTCGAACCCGCACAGCGCACGGCAACTGATCAGGAGACCGAAGAGTCTACTACTGCGGCCACCGCTGCTGCCTGCAACAGAACAACGTTTAATTGTGTATCAAGGGAGGCCAACCCCCTGAATAAATCATAAGCTTGGTCAGTCGAAGAATATTGATCGTCACTGTGTCGAGAGGCTCATGACAGTGGATGTGAAACCCTAAATAAACAGCTCTAAACATAAATATGGTCCAACTGAAGATGAGACAAATCCTAACCAAAGTGCTTGCTATTGTGAATCATGACCCACTATCAGTTTTGTAAATTTATTATCATATTGCCGAAAGATGTATAATTACACATTAGTATTAAGATTGAGATAGAATGTCATCATTTCGTTGATCGAACCTGTTGCATTCATTGTGTAAGAATATATCGCTCGAATATGTCCCATAGCTTTTCTTTTAAAAAGCGATTTGATAAAATTCAAAATAACAGCTACTAGAAGTAGACCAACAAAACCAACAGACTTTTACAAAATCATCAATTATTACATATGTACATAAGCTTAATTTGAATTTATAATAAAAAGAAGGGAGCATCCGAAAATCTCGTCCTGGAAAAATAAGGGGAGAAATCAGAATTCCCAACATGACATGACATATTGCTTTCTCGGCCCCAAGGCTCACTTTAAATTCCGCATCATGTTCCCGGATAATAATATGTAAAAATGAATTGGAGTTTAAAGTTGGCGGCTGTCAGCGTTATTGTTTTAACTGGCGCGCCAACTGCCGCAAGCGACTGAATAAATAGGGTTGGAATCTTCACGCAATTTTTTGCTCTTTTGTTCCCAGTTAAATAATATAAAAAGGCACCTACGCTGCGAAATGTCTCTGACGCTTGGAACAATACGTCCAGAGAGCTGCGCTAACATATTTTGCGGATGATGGCGCCATTCATTAGAGAAGTACGTCATTTTTATGTGAGGACGTGTTATATTTCATCGTTGCAGCGTTAAGTTTAAAAGAAATTACTGCGTAACCTGAGAACAAATTTTCTGCTGACTGCGTTTGGTTGTTTGGGTTACTGCACCTCATACAAGAAATATCAACAGCAAAGAGTCTGTATCATTATACAACAGCGACTGACATCCGTATCATGACTGTCACCAAATATTCTTAGACAGTCAAGATTTCATGTAGCATTTGTCTATCAAAAAATCAATGGAATCGTTCCATTTCATGTATTTCCCGGAAATGTTAGACTCACCCAAAGGTGGCATGTCTCACCATAATGACTGAGTTCCTGGATCCATATAACACCCAGACAACTTCATACAAAATATTCCCGAGATTCTTAGAATACAGTCACCAGAGATGTATCTATGAATTTATGGGTAATATAACAATTCGTTACCAGAATACACCACTTGTTTACGAGCTCTTATGTGATATTTTATAGTCACGATGTTTCGTTTAACCTTTAACTACTCGCGCTGGTGTATATAGTACACCAAAATGGCGCCGAGGGCTGCCGAGTCCATGCGAATAGCTGTTCGTCCGCGCCGAGCCAGGTATGCCTCGCTCGATGTATCTTCCAGATGTAGCGCCAGTACGGTTCGGATCGCTAGAGGACAAGGTTAGATATTTCAAGAAGTTTGAGGTGGTGTACAAAATACACCAAGGCGAGCAGTTATGTAAGTAGATAGTGGAATGTATTTTTTTTAGGTTTTCCATGAAAACTTATTTGTAATGTAGTCTGTATATTTGTATATAATTAAACATCGATTATATGTTTTGAATTAATTGATTTATTCATTCAAGGAATCGAGTTAAGGTGAAAAATCCTCAAAAATTGACCCAAGATGAATTAGCGGCTATAGCCCAAGTTATATGTGATACGGATACCGAGGAAGAAGTTGGAGGAGAAGGAGATTCTGATGGAAGTGAACAAGTAGAGAAAGAAGCACACAATTCGGATTCAGAACAAGAAATAAGCGAACTAGAAGAAGTGGATGAAGTGGATGTTGATCAAAGTAGTTCTGATTCTGAAGATATCCTGCTCTCGGTGTTAGCGGCCAATAAACAAGATAAGTATATTGGCAAAGACAAAAAGACTATTTGGTATAAAAATTATCCCATGAGTAAATCCAGCAAGTCCAAAATAAAAAACATTATAAAAATACTACCAGGGCCAAAGCAATGCGCACGTGACATAACCGATGAGACAAGTGCGTTTTCGAAAATTTTTGATGATGAAATGATTGAACATATTATTCACTGTACTAATTTAGAAATTTCAAGAGTTAGGGAAAACTATGATCGAGAACGAGACGCAAAGGACGTTACAAAAACGGAAATGCTGGCTTTTATAGGCTTACGGTTTTTATCTGGATCTAAAAAGCAAAACCACACCCATTTTTTGGAATTATGGACAAAAGACGGTACCGGATCAGAAATATTTCGAGCTTGCATGAGTTATCAAAGGTTTCTTTTTCTGCTGGCAAATATTCGATTTGATGACAAAACAACAAGGCATGAACGCAAGAAAATAGATAAATTGGCCGCAGTGCGGTACGTTTTAGATAAATTTGTAAGTAATTGCAAAAAAAACTACTCTATGGGCGAATTTATGACAATAGACGAAATGTTGATTGCGTTCCGAGGACGATGCAGCTTTGTCCAGTACATACCAAACAAACCTGCGAAATATGGTTTGAAGGCATTTGTGCTCTGTGATGCTAGAACATTTTATGTGAGTAATTTGGAGCTGTACTGTGGAAAACAACCAGATGGCCAATATAGCCAATCTAATACACCAACTGCCATCGTTCACCGTTTGCTAGCAGAACAAAAAGGAAGCAATAGAAATCTAACCTCCGATAATTGGTATTCAAGTTACCCTTTGGCAGTGGAACTTCTTCAAGACAAAATAACTTTCATCGGAACCCTGAAGAAGAATAAGCGAGAGCTGCCGATAGAGTTCTTGCCAAATAAAAATAGGTTGGTTGGGTCATCACTTTTTGGATTCCAAAAGGATGTAACGATAGTTTCACATGTCCAAAAAAAAATAAATGCGTGGTTTTGATTTCAACTATGCACGACGACTCCACTATTGATCCATATACCAACAAACCTGAAATAATTCTAGATTATAATATGACCAAAGGGGGTGTGGACACAGTGGACAAAATGTGCAATACCTATTCTGTTGGAAGAAGAACAAAAAGGTGGCCATTGGCTTTCTTCTTTCAGTTGCTAAATATAGCAGGCATCAATAGCCAAATTTTGTATAACGGCACTCACCCTGAATCTCCTCACAAGTCCAGAAGAATTTTCCTGAAAACTCTTGCTCTGTCATGGATGAAACCTTTTCTTTCTGAAAGAGCTGCAATACCTACGTTACCTATAGATATCAGACATTTCCTATCCAGATATAGACAAACTCAAATGGATGAAGAAGAGGAGCCACCCAGAAAAATTAGAGGAAGATGCTCCATCTGCGCCCGAAAAAAAAAATAGAGTTACCACAATTACATGCAGCATTTGTCACCAGTTAGTGTGTAAAGAGCATAGTGTCAACGTTATCACCCGCCACAAATGTAAGGAAGGCGGATCCCATAGTGAATAGAGAATTATTAATTATGGTTGTCTTTTTCAATTTATTTTTACTGTCTTATTTGATTTTGTTTACTATTTTTGCTAATAAATATGTATTTGAGTTCAACAGTTGCTCTTATTACCACAGCTATAACTTATAGGGCAAACAAAACATATATTTGGATCATAACTTGCAACGGTGTACAAAATACACCGCGCGAGTAGTAACGTGAAATAAAAATGCGCGAGTAGTTAAAGGTTAAAAGAAATTACAACACAATGTCGCAAAATCGATTTACAAGAGGTGCGCTATTTTTATATAGGCAGCTTTATCAGATTACAGTAAGTACTCTAAGTGCAGTTTTCTGTAAAACGAAATTGCTTGAAATTCAAGTTATCTTAAAGAATGTTTCACGGATTTTCAAAATGCATTTTACTTCAAAACGCTATGACTTTTGTTTGAGTGATACGATACTTTTGTGGAATTAGACACGAAAATAAAGCACTTATACGTTGTAGAATAAACCGTGGTACTTCTCTTGAAGGGAGCTAATGAGCTATGAAAGCGCTAACTCTATGTAGTCCTTCCTAGCATATACATATCTGAGATGTGTTACTAAATATGCTGAAAATGCAAATACGGTGACTGCTAGTTATATCCGTCGGCAATGTGTTGTTAGCGCTCAGGGGCATACCACATCAGTCTTTTACACTTAGAGCATGACGTAACATGTTTCTTCTAAAAAGTCAGGAAGTTTCAATTGTCCCAGGGCAGATCCGTTGCCGCTAGGCACGCCAAAGGGCTGTTAGCTGCAAGGTCAGCCTTGAAGAATGGGTAATTGTTACATAAGATACTACGATACTTACGACTGAGGGGTTACGTCTAGGAGGAATTATTGCCAGGTTTGGTGAAAAAGTTGCCATAAACACAAGATTTTTGCATAAAGAGCATCCAAGTTTATCAGATAAAATTGTGTTTTATTTTTTTTACAAATATCTATGTTTGGCAGAAAAACATTCGGTATTCCCTACTCTAGTAGTAATAGTTGTGGTGTATCTGTCTTTGAAGTAACAATGTTCGCAACGCGTCAACTAAAGGTATGTGAGTTAAGTGTTGCTTGCGTGTTTTTTTGTAGATAATAATAACGACATTGGGCTTGCCTAGACACGTCAACTCATTTGACGCGCATAGGGAACTCAAAGAAAGATGAAAGGGCTCATTGTAAACATATGTCCACACACCATTCTCCTATCAGGGGATTTATGGATCTTTTATTACCGTTCCGACACCTTTAGCCGCCCTGTCTCGACATTATGTAAAAACATAATTGTTCAATTTAAAGTTCATCAATGTACCAAACTCCACGTCTCGAGGGTCCAGTTACGCAGCAAAAATATTGCATTAGCCACATCGACACTGTCGTGGTGCAATCTCCACGAATCAGATGTTATCTGGCAGCGCATAACTCAGAGTTGATAATGGAAGCGATCGGGGATGCATGCGATGGTAAATCAACATGGGGCAGGCTACTGCAGAGCTGGCGTTTATTATCATGGCCAGTCTGAAATGGAGGGTCAAGAACTAGGAGCACTTCCATGTAGGAGGGATGTGTATGGAAAACATAATATACAATATGCTAAAGACTAACAATTAATTGTTTTCTTCCAAATACAGGCTGTTCTTGAAATTGGTACTTATCTTAACGCGGCATAAAGTTCTCATAACGCTTAGCAAATTTCCCCAGTATAGCATACACCAAAGTCTCAAAATAACCGAGATATTCCGATTAGATCTAAGATATCTTGTGCGGCCCTGTCTGCAGCGAGTGATTGAGTTATGCTGAGGCATCGAGAGTGGAACCAGATGGTTCTGGGAGTCTTCGTCTTGCGCTGCGTAAATTTGCTCATACCTCATACAAAGAGGAAGGAACACAGGTCGTCTGTACGTCTGAGGTGAGCATAGTGGAAGACTGAAGACGTAGTCAACCACAAATATTTGAAATTGCGAATGAGGTCGTGGTATCTTAATAGTATTTATAAGCGTCATGTGACGTGGCAGTACTATAGACAAAACGCAACATGCCCAAAAACGAGATTGTACAGGTCCGCATTTTCCTCGATGGTCAATTTTTCACGTCAGGAAATAAGAATGTTCTATTGTTTGAAGACACATAGATTTTGTATTTGCCCAAATCGTTTCAATGGGCTTTAATTCGCAGTGATAAGGGGATGGCCTTAAAACGGTCTTATTCTTATTTTGGTTTTTAGCCATTTCGTCAATAACATTAAGATGATATTTATATTTGTGCTGCCGGACTAGATGGATAAGTTCTGCTTTGGACATTGTGGGAATTTTTTCCAGTTTTCTAATATGGTCCGCAGCATGATCAAGTACAATGACGGCATCGTTGTCAAGCTTTAGGAGCGTTTCTTCAAACCACCATTCAAATGAGCTCCCGTCCATTTCTTCATCGTAGTCGGTCGCTTTCTTTGACTCAAATGCCCATAGGTCAGTGGGCACAAAGTCATCTATGTCGCCAATGTGACAGATGACAAATCGTTTTCGTTTTCCTGGAAATAATTATTTCATATAATATTCATGAAAGCTAATAATAATACAAGAAGAGTATCTAACAGGTGTTGGTTCCAAATCTACCAGATAAAGCTAAGTCTAGTGTAGCTAAGTTTTCAGCGTGGGTTCATATATTCAGTCTACTTGACATCTTTATTACAACACAAATGAGGAATTGGTTAGATACACATACCTGGCGGATTTTTTAGGCCAGTCCATCTGAGAAGGCTTGTCGCACTGAGTCAGATCATACTGTAGGTTTTGTATGTCCTGCATTTATCGAGGCTACATCCAAGTAATAAACCTTCCTGCCCTGGTCGCGGTATTTCTTTATTGATTTTAAATAATTTCTACTTCATAAATTAATCTCTTGGCTACCCATCAAAATACTATTTCTGCCCAGTTCTCTAAACTCAAAATTAAGTTCTTTGAGTAAAGAATAGAATGTGGTCCTTTTGAATGGATCCTTCATCACTCTTAATCTCCTGTAATACTTTGTCTGTGGTGGGAAGTTCCTGCCTTTCAAAAAATTGATGTACTTTGCGTCTTATGGCATTCCGATCAAAGTTATCAACTGTATCCAACAGTTTCGTGTAATACAGCCTCTTGAGTGGTGGCTCACATTTTTTTTATATTCTTCCACAATGTTGAAAATTTTCTTACAACATGAGCCTGTTTTGTCCGCCATACGTCTTTCATGTATCATGAATTTTCATTTCAGGATGCTCTAAAATTTCGCTCTTATAAACGTTTTCGGGTAGGAGACATCACTGAAGAGTAAGCATGGCTGAAGGAAGTATTGGGAGAAATGTTCACAGTTTCATCTGCTGTAGCCGTAGACGACATGCTAACGTGTAAACACACCCTATGTATGTACCAAATATGAACTGTAACTGCCGGCGTCGGCGTGACGGCGATACCTTGAGTCCTACCCTGCACTTGTTCGTAGTTTAATGGCCGAATGACGAATAGCGATTGCAACGCTTAGGCGGCTGCCGCTTTGCTGCGCTGCATCTTTGTTTTGCCGTGGCGTAAATGGACTACTACTACGTTATAGAAATTACTTATCAATATGCGGTAGTTGTTTCGGCTCTATTATTTCCTTTTCTTAGCGGTTTCACTGTACATCTTTGATATGTTAAATGTATTTGTTTCCGAAAAGGAAAGTTTCAACTCTTACCTTGCATTAAGATTTGCATGGCTGTAGAGTTTATTAGAGAATTTTTTTTGGAAAAATTTCACTACCGTAAGCACGTCGTTTTTTTAGTCCACTAGAATGTATAGTTAACACACATGATATAAGTGAAGTCAAAAAACGTTAAACTTTGCTTAACTGAGGCTATGTATAAAAGAGAAAAAGGAATAGAAACGGATTGCTTTCTCACCTTCAGGCTGAAATTAAATTTCAGGGTACCGTGACCACCGCAGCGGTCAAAAGAAATCCTGCTTATCCTATTTTTGAATAGTTGGCGACTAGGCGGGTACGGAAGAACATTCTTCTATAATCTCAACATGAGAAGCAGTAATCGTCATACTGTCCAGTTTTTGGTTCACAGAGTATTACAACGTTGGAACCGAGGTTAGACACAGAATATTAAGCCTGCCGAGTTTGTCTAACGAGCTTAAACAATAGTGACGTTATGGGAAAACACTCATAATAACAAAATTTAGTTCGGGTATTGGCAGCAGGAAACCAGATCACTGGTTGTCCATCGAAATGATACAAATTTCTAGAAAATTATGAGCTTAATTATCGAAGTACACCACTGAGGTCTATCAACGACGCCATGACGCGTACGTTACGTACGGTTAGGGAGCACACCGGACAGCTGGAGTTGAGCGGGGTGAGGATGCATAGGCGTAAGGGGGGGTGTGGTTTGGCACGAGCCCATGCCGATTCCGCTCAACTCGAACGTATGGGTGTCATCTTGGCGATTTCTGTATTAACTCTGGTCGTATTCCAGTCTCGAAATTGAGTTCGACGGGCGGTGGACAGTAATCGGGCTCTGCGGGGAGCTACTGCTGCTCCTGCATGAGGGCTTTGTTATCTGTCGATGAGTTTCTGTTGCTTTTATCGGATATTGGAAATATATTACTTCGACCTTAGTATCTTCAAAAATAATATTTCATACTCTATGTATCCTCAAAATTTATTGGTACTTCAAGAAGAAGGAATTAATATAAGTTGT